GGCCTCCCAGAGTGCTAGGATTACAGGCGTGAGCCACCGCGCCCGGCCCACTATTTAATTTTTTTGAGAAAGGTATTGTGGTAGACAGAATCATGGCTCCCTTCAAAGATAATCTCATCCCAATGCCAGAAGCTGCGGAGGTCATGTTACATGGCAAAGGGTAATTAAGGTTGTAGGTGGAATTAAGTTTGCTAATCATCTGACTTTAAACAGGGAGATTATCCTAGATTATCCAGGTGGGTTCAATGTAATAATCCTTAAAAGTGGAAGAAAGATGTGGAAGAGTCAGAGATGGCAGCATGAGAGGGACTTGGTCCCCAAAGTATGAGAAAATAGCTCTTGTAAGGAAATGTTTGTCTGATAAACTTCTGGTCCAGAAGAGGGCATGGTATGGATTAGAAGGAATAAAGCACAGTGAATTAAAAGGCAGAAACTGCATTGCCACCCTCCTCGCCTAAGGCCCCACGAGATGAAATATGGCCTTTAACACATTAACTGAGAATTGTATTTAACTCACTCTAGTTTTGACCTTGGGGCTGCATGAATCAAATATAAAATCTTACTTGTAGATGTTCTTATTGTTACAATTAATATTGACAATTTAATTCTAAAAACGTGGATTAAATGAATAGAAGTCAATAAATTTCATTTTTCTGTTTATGTTTACCTTTAAATTACATTTGAAGTTTTTATTCTATTTTTGAAATAAAACACTGTGGCCCCAAGGAAAAGTGTCTGATTTTTTTTGTGTGTGGCAGTCAATGTGTTAAAATAGAGAAAGAAAGTTATAATTTGAATAAGCCAAGCAAGGTCTATGTTACTCTCTGTGTTTGTTTCCTGTTTCACATGTCTTGGCATTCAGTAAAGGCACCCTCATTTCCAAACATGTTGCTAGACATAAAGGAAAGGTGCATTTGCACAGCATGGGGTAAGAATTAAATGACAAGTAGCAAAACTTCACAACCCAGAGGCAAATATGATGATGGTGTTAGTAATCTGCAAGCAGACCAAAAGGAAAAGGAAGAATCTGAAAAAGTCAGGTAGTATAGTTCAGTTGCCTCTGTCCATATGAAGATTACTTGGAGTTTCTGGGCTTTATTATCATTAATAAGGATTGCATTTCCTTTTAAGAAGTTGCAGCCATACATATTAAATATGTGTGTTCCACTTGAAGGCAGAGTCGTGTTTCCCACTTCCACATGTACAACCGAGAGCCTGGGCCTTGAGGAAAAGTGTGCCCACCAGTAGGTGCCCTCCCACCAAGAAGAGTGCTTGAAAGCTAAGTCACTATAACTATGATAGAGTTTATTCAATACACCCATTATTTATTTAGAGAGTTCCTACCAAGAACTAAACACTGTCCTAGGTAGTTGCTGGAGATAAATATTAATAAATAAAAGTGTTTTTATCCTCAAGGAGCTCAAAGTATCCTTGGAAAGAAAGACATGTAAGTGAATAGTTAGAACACAATATAACATAAGTGAAAAATAAAGAAATTTATAAGAGGCAATTTTCCACGGCCCTTGAGCATCCTGGCATACTTCTTCTGGGTGTGCCAGGAATGCAAGTTTCTGAATTCTCTTTACCTGGGCCATTCTCAGGGTTGAGTTTGCAGCATCCATCCTGGAGGGATAAGGTAATTTCTTCCTCTAGACAAAGAATAGGCTTGCTTACTGTTTGTTATAAAAGTAGAGAATCTCCAAATTTAGTGTTCCTATCCTGTAAGGCAGAACACTGCATGTGCAGGCAACTGCACCTAACTCACCTGGGTTACCTCTGTGAGGCTTGAAGGATGTGAAGAACTGTCAGGAAGGTGATGCTTTGGCTACTACTTTTGTTGTAAGAAATCAAGGCCTTTGTCTCCTGCCAGGATCTATGAATAATAATAGGCTAACTTGTTAGCTTGTAAGTAGGGTAAAGTCCTAGATCCCTCACAATTTGTGACTATACTCTTCCTCAGGAAAATAACTGATATTTAACCTAAGATTTGATGAATGAACATAAATTTTATAGACTGACAAGAAGGTCATCTATACCATGTCAAATAACAGAGTCAGGGAAGGCAATCCTATGGATGTTTTTAGCTCTCTTGTTTATTTTGACCCTTATAGATCTACTTGGTTCATTGGTTCAATTCTTGGAAAAATGAAGCACGCATATTCTCTTTGCAATATATATTTTTTTATAGTCCATGGTTCTTAGGTTCTTAATGTGAAGGAGTGGGTATTGGCAAAGGAAAGACTATACATTCTTAGCTCTGAGCATGATCCATAATCTGAAATGTGTATGTTGTGTGTGTGTTTGTATGTGTGCGTGTGCAAGATTTAGCTTCTTATTGTCATTTTTAAGTAACAATTTTGTTTGGATTTTTACTTTGATACTTTTCTTTAGCTCATTTTTAAGTGAAATTTGTTTTCCTGAACTTACAGAATGAGGTTTGTTTCAGGAAAATTTTTTTTGCCATTTTACAGAGCCCCTTCTTTTATGCTGTGTTAAAAATACGGTGGCTTGCTTTCGGCGATTTTCTGGCTTTGTTCATCTACCCTACTTTGGTTGAGATATTCTTGTTCCTTTTTCCCTGTTCAATTTTGATTGCACTTGCAGCAGCAGTTTCTCCTCCTTGTCCCGTCCTTTCCTCGCATACCTAATGCTATATCAACGTCTCCTTTCCGGGAGATATGAACTGATGAAAGGGTTCTGTTGTCAAATCTGTCAGAAGATGTCTAAGTGCTTCCTTTTACCCCCCTATGAAACAGATGCCAATACTGTACAAGTTTTGTGGCTGTTAGTGGTTCGGCTCTGCCCATTCGCACGTTGTGGTTTGTAGGAATACCTTGTTATCCAATAATTAAATAAATGTCATCCGAGAGTTTTTGACTTTGCTATGTAGTTGCTCTTTCTGCTTCATGTGGGGACGTGCAAAAATAAAAAAATTATACTTCAATTGCCCCATCTTCCTGGGATCCATATTAAGATTTTTATCAACTATAACTATTAATATCATTAGCTTGGCCAGTGTATTTCTGCCACATGCTATACCTGATGAGGTGACTTACCAAGATACTCCAGCTTTATGAAAATAGCCCTTAAAATCTGTTAAGATCATCTTCTTGATTATATCTAGGCTGTCTTCTGATCTTAATTTGATTTCTCCCTCAGAAGCTATCATGTTGATTAGCTGAGATGAATAAATACCCTTGGACGTTCTATTTTTCCTGATAAATTATTCATATATTCAATTCAGGTTAACCCTTCCTCAGGGCCTACTGTTTGTGCCAGGCACTATGAGTTAGGTACAGAAGAGAGACAAATAAGCCATAGGTCCTACGCTGAAGGAACTCAAAGTCAGATACATTTTTTTTTATTGGTTTTAGGGATCTGTCCTTACTTCAGATGATGTCAAACTTCTGAAAACAACCTCTTATGAAGAAGAGGCATTTGGACTTTCTGACTATCAAAGCCTTATGAAAATACCTAGTAACCTTTCTGGAAGGTAGAGGGAAATAAACTGTTGCTGAGGCCCACATTCATGTGGAAGACAAGACTTTGCTTTCAGTATTGATATTGAAGAGGTAATTGTTCATGATTTGTCATCCCAAAATGTACTTAGGTAAAGGCATTTAATTACCCAAGCTGTTCCTAAGAAGTATTGTCAGCTTCTGCTTAAGTTTAATAGTCTGCTGAAAAAAGGCCTCAGAAGGCCACGTATGTGAATGGCGAACAGCTTCTGCAGGGAGCTATCCATGGTACAGTGTTTGGGTCAGTCTGAGCCCACTGCACTGACACGGAGCTGATGCAGTGGAATCCCTGGGAAGTGTCCAAAAGAGTACAGGGCTAATGGTTGAAGGTGATAGACAAACTTCACACACAAGAGGTAGCTCAGCAATGTTTAGTGTCTTGTGTGATGTTAACGCATTTAGCGTGTGCATTGTGCAAGAGAGCAGTTTCTGTTATTTCATTTTAAATATACCTTTGTAGTGACATTTTAATATATACTCATGTGTTATTTAATGACAGGGATATATTCCGAGAAATGTGTCATCAGGCAATTTTGTCATCATGCAAACATCATAGAGTGCACTTGCACAAACCTAGATGGCATAGCCTGCTACACCTGGGCTATATGGTGGTACACCTTTTGCTCCTAGGCTACAAACCTGTACAGCATGTTATTGTACTGAATACTATTGTACACAATACAATTGTAACACAATGCTAAGTATTTGTGTCTCTAAACATATCTCAATACAGCAAAGGTATACAGTAAAAGTACAGTATAAAAGATAAAAAATGATACCCTTGTATAGAGTACTTACCGTAAATGGAGCTTGCAGGACTGGAATTTGCTCTGGG